AATCCACAGCATACACACAGGCTGGGGAGTTCCCTTCTTGAAAGCACAGAGGTGGAACGGGATCTTGGAGTCATTACTGACTCCAAGATGAACATGAGCCGTCAATGCTGGACCGCAGCCAACGAGGCCAGCCATACCTCGGCACGCATCCAAAAGTGCATCTCAAGCCGGTCCAGAGAGGTGAAACTCCCCCTCTACGCGACTTTGGTCAGACTGCAGTTGGAGTACTGCGTCCAGTACTGGGCGCCGCACTTCAAAAGGGATGTGGCCAGCCTGGAGAGGGTTCAGAGGAGGGCCACCCGCTTGGTGAGAGGGCAGCAGGACAGGCCCTACGAGGAGAGACTGAGGGACCCGAACCTGTTCAGCCTCAGCAAGAGGAGGCTGAGGGGCGACCTGGTGGCCGTCTACAAACTCATTAGGGATCAACAGCAAATAGGTAGAGCCCTTTTCTCCCCAGCACCACCTGGGGTGACAAGGAACAATAGTAGTAAGCTGATGGAGAATAGGTTTAGGTTAGAGATCAGAAGGCAATATTTTACATTTACAGTTAGGGTGGCCAAAATCTGGAACCAACGTCCCAGGGAAGTGGCCCTCACCCCTACCTTGGGCAAATTCAAGAGGATGTTGGACGATCACCTGTCTGGGGCCTTGTGAACCCAGCATTCATTCTTGCCTGTGGCAGGGGGTCAGGCTAGATGATCTGTTCAGGTCCCTTCGGACCCTAGTTACTATGAAACTATGAAACTGTATAGTTGCTAAATAGCAGGATAAGTATACAGGAAGGCAAAGGGAAGGTTGTAATAAATATGGAGCTTAAACTTATCTATACTCAACAGGATATCTTCCCTAAAATATCCCTTTGGTGCAAATTCATTTTCTGTGGGAAGAAGTCACACAGTCCCTCACATCCTGACTTGACAGTCACCTGAGCTCTTGTGGAGCCCAACAGGATCTGTTCATCCCTGAAGTGAGAAGCCCAAGAGTATGCGCTGTACTCATTGTAGGGATTTTCTTAGGGGAGTTACAGAATTCACTCTTTGCCAAGTCCTTTACAGCTTCCCATTGGAAGACAGGGAGTAGCAGGTTTACAGTCTGCAAAGACTGATGGAAGACTCATATTTCCAATCCACTGTCACAAGCCGAGAACTGGGAGGGAAGTATAAGTTAAAAAGTATCTAGTTCACAGCTTATTACCTGTTGGTGAAAAAGATCTTCCTCTCCAAACTCTGCTTCATCCTCCTCCTCCTCCTCATTCACACGTGTCACTACTGATTTTGTGACGCTTCTTACTGCAACCTCCTAGACACAGGGGCAGATAAAGATATATTTGATATTCTGTTCCTTATCTCTGCATTTTGATGGCACAGTGAACTCGCACCACAAAACTCTGGAGTATCAAAGCAATTGACCATATATTTGACCCACTGACCCTGGTTTTGTGAAACCAGAGCCTGGACAAAGTTTTGCAAAATACAATAAGTCTCTTCTTTGTTTTCAGTTCTACTTGATTTTAGCCATACTATCCAGCCCCGCAGGGGACTAGTCTCTGACAATCCTCATCTTCACAGAGTTTTTGTACATTTTTATTTAAAAAACAACAAATAGACAGGCCCAACTTAGAGCTGTCTAATGAAAGACTGTGGAATGCACTAAGAAACAATTTATGTTAGTGAACAATTATGCGTCATTAAGAAACCAGATTTCCTCTTAATCTATGTCAACTATTTGGAATAATTTTCAGTTAGATACTGAAAGCTTCAAGAGTCAGGATATTTCCTTAATTTTTAAATTTCTTTGTAGCAGAGTTAGGTATTTAAAACAACAGTGTTCTGTACAAGAACATTTCTAGAATAGCGGGTAAGAAATTAATTAGCGTATCTGTGGCAAATCTCCCCTGGCACAAATTTATAAGTAGAGAGACTGTCGAATTTTAGGGTGTGAGGAGACTTTTTTTTTTCTAAACTAATAATCTAATAAATTTGCTCCACTTCAATATTGAGCTAGTTCACTTTCTGTTTGTATGTGTCCTGTGCTGCTGTTCCTGCACAGTGATTTCATAGTTACCAAGAAAAAAGGGTAGCATGAACATTGATGAAAAGCTGATAGGTTTCATTTTCTTATTCCTAAACAACTATTGCAGCAATGCATATTATGAATAGCCAAAGCAAAATCCTCCCTTGCAATTTTTTCTATAGGGACTTTTTTGTTTTGTTTTTTTAAGTAGTTATGGGATGATTTAGGACGAATGAAAAAACTACTAATACGCACCAAATGTAAACTCCCAATACAGTTTCAATATTTAAGACGATATCACTACCTTCTTGCACCATCTTTTATCTAGCATCCCAAAATATGCCAGGTACCATATTTACTCGCATACTATCTCCCCTCCCAATCAGCATTCCAAAATTGGGGTCTCAGTCATAAGACTCAATCTCCCCACTTCACTGAAACAGAAGCATGCAGATACTGTGCTTTAATGGTTGCTCAGATGTCTGCTACCACTTGTTTCTGGACCAGCAAGCAGAAAGGGCTGAGCATGCTAGTTTGTGCCTGCAGGAGCGATCAAGCTGGCTCAAGGGAAGCGAGCTGCTGCATACAGACTACGATAACTTGATGAGGCTCGTGGTGTAGAAACAACACTTGAGTTACAGTGAAAAAATACCAGTCTTGCTACTGCCATTACAAGGAGCTGGGGCCTAGGCTCAATGCTATCCTGCCATATCAAGAAGCTCCTACTGCCTCACTCAAACAGTTTCTTAGGAAGCCATGCTTTCCGGACATACTAGTCAGCCATGGCTCTAGACAGATTTTTTTATTTTTTTTAAAAACATTTTGCCTTCCAAAGAGGTGTGTTATTTAGGGGCAAATGCTTTCCAAGAAAATATGGTATTTTCAACCTTTCTTGGAATACCCACACTGTTTTCATTCCCATCTCAGCTGAAAATGTATACTCAAATTGAAGCACATTCTCTCCTCTCATGAATGTTTTCTAAAAGGTCTACACAGATGATCAGTCCTTTGAACACATTTCCTTAAACACTGTATCATTATATATAATACTTAATCCATTAAATATTCAACACTAGATACTGCTTTGTTACAGACGATAGCTATGGAAAGAACAAAAGCATTTTGTCAAAATACAAAAAGGATTTGGATGGGTAACAACATATTTGTCCAAGAGACAAAACCTACCTCTCCGTCAGAGTTTACTAGGTATGTACGGATGTTTCCTCCAGTGCCCCAGCTGCTCTGATTTTTCCACACAAGGACAGAAGGAGGGCTATGAGCCACACCTGCATCTGCAGCCCAGATCTAAAAAGACACAAAAATGTTGTAATCAATGCCTGTACTTCTTTTCTTTTTGTATGTAAGAAGGGATGCCTAATTCTGTACTTTTTTTTCCACTTGACCCTTTCCATTTCTCAAGGATAGTGAAGTAGGTAAAACTACCCAAAGAAGAACATTCTTTGCCACTTACAAGTTAGCAGCTGAAAATTAAGAGCAACCATGGTTAAAGGGAAGAAGAAAGACTAACATATCAAGCACCACTTTGTTTCTGCATGCAGCATTTTTTATTTTATTTTGTCTGGGTTCTACTATGGCAGTAAACGTACCAAGATTAAGAACGTTTCTAAAGCATGGTAGCAACACATCATGGCAAGGACATCTCCAAGCACACTGTGACCACTAGCTTCAAACCCATGAAAACATGCCAGTGCAGCAGTTAAGACTGGAAGAAAAAACAGGGCCCTCCAGCAAGGCATATACTGGTATTGACTGGATTCATTTTAGAGACAGGAGTAATCATCAAGAGAATTGCCAAGAGAATGTAAAGGTTGCTTTTAAGTCATTCAACAAGCACTGGACTCCCAAAACTGCACTGACTGACTAACAGCTGTCATGCATTCAAGACCCGCATGGCACAGTGATTGGGCAGCCAAGATGAGCTGAGGGAACGTTAAGGTATTTGGTGGCAGACTGACAATTCAATGATGCCATGTCTAGTGGTGGTGCCATTGGTCCTTGAACTCAGAAAGTAATGGAGCAGAACCATCAGATCCAGTGCAGTAGGAACTACAAACTCTATATCCTACACTTCTGCCTGGGTGATGCCAGAAGGTGTAAGGACATGTGTCCTTATGTAGCTCAATCTAAGTTTGCAGTTACAGCCAAACTGGCACCAGGTTACCAAAATTAACCCAGGTACAAGATGATACTTACTTCAAAGATCTGCACCTCTTGCCCTCAGTAACAACTGACAAGGGCCTAGTATCCCAAGGCTCAACAATGCAAACAGATGATCTAGCAAACAGAATGGTGCAAATCTCAACGAAATCCACACTCTACAGCAAGCACTCCAATTCAAACAGACCAATGCAGAAGCATCCGATGTGGCATGCCAGTAGGGGGTGCTCCTGCGCTGAGCCACCCACCTCACTGTACCCAACCACCTTCTGGGCTCTGAGTGCCTCCCTGGGGGCATCTCACGTCCGGCCGACCCCCTTCCTGGAGCAAACTTGCTAGCCCGGGGGTAACGCTGCCACCACCCAGGGTCTGGACTGATCCTGGTTCTGTGCCCCCTGGGAAACACAGGCCTAGTAACCCTTGAGGGTACTCGACCCACTTCAAGAACTTGGGGTGCTTCCCTCAGTCTGAAGCACAAATAGTGATCTCCCCTAGTTACCCAAACCAAGGGGACCCCAAGGCATAATCTAGCCCCTCTCCCAGTAAGTCTCCCATGCTATGTACAAAGGAGAATTTTATTGGCTACAAGGAATAGGTTTGGAATAGGGTACAGGGTAGAGCAATATCAGAGAACTCCCAGTGAGCAGGGGCAGGCAATTATTTCGGGTGGAGGGCTGCTTACTGCGTTTTGGCAAGCCATTGAGGGCCGCACGACAGGCAGCCAGGGGCAGATAAATATTAATTTTCTAAATTTTTGAGGGGCCCCATGGGCCAGATAGAATGGCCTGGCGGGTTGAATTTTGCCCACCTCTGCCATAGATCAAACAGTGGCTCAGTAGCCTTTGATCATGCATCTGAGTTACTGAAAGCTATATATCTAGTTAGATCTCTGGTAGCTTACTCACGAGTATCATCCAGAGGCAGGCAGAGATTCCCTCTGGAGGTAGGCAGTTCATTGATCATAAGTTTCAAGACAGAGAGCAAGTTTCAGATGGTCCAGCTTTTCTCTCTCTCTCTCTCTTTCAGTTTTCATCATGGCCACTGCCCCTCCTCCTGGGCAGTCCTTAACTTATATAGACCTTATAACCTCATTTACTGGGTCCAATGGAGGCCAGCAACTGTTGGCTGCTAGCCAACCAATTTGACATGCATCACTGGTTATAATGCCAGTCACATAGGCAGAGGGAACAGGTTTCCTCCCTCCCTCCCTCCAGAATGTATCCAACTCAGGGTTACCTAAAGAGATGGGATGTCTGCCCTTTGCAGGGACCATGTTAACCAAATTGTCACACAGCAGAGTTTTTGGGGAGAGACAGAGGTGGCATTCTGCCACATCTGATACTCTACAAGCTTCTACAGAATCTCTTTGAGGCTGGGAGGTCTTAGAGGTTGATTGAATGGTACCATATATACCGTTTCTGAACCCTTATGTACCCCAACCAGCTTTTGGGCAGATCAAAAGGTTTCAGAAATGCAAGAAATAGAACCCCCATATTAGTAGCAGACAGCAGAATAAGGGGAAGCTTTGTTTTAAGACCTGATAGGGCATATCCTATGCATCTAAACCCTGAAAAGAAAATAGCCTTTGAGCAGAGGCAGTACCAGGAAATGTCAGTGATGGTCTGAGTTATTAGTGATAAAAATCAGAAAAGCAGCCTAAGGTCTTAAACACGAGGATCATTTAAGTTAATTTTTCTTTCTTTTGTGGCTGCAGGACTGACACATGTTGCACTTATCAGGAATGAAAGTGTCCAGTGTAGGCATCCAATGCTGGCAAAAGGCCTTCATGCCACAGACTGCTATGAAACCCAGAGATTTCCACAAGGAGAGAGCAAAGAAATCAAAAAGATAATTCTCTTTAGTAAAAGATTCCTAAGCTGGTGAAAAAGAAACAAAAAGACCCTCCCTCTTTCCCCACCAAAAAAAAATCCTGAAATAAGCAAAGCATCTAGGGCTCAAGACATCAGTATTTCATTGCGCAATTGAAAACTGTTAGGTAAAAGCAGGGAGAGAATGTGTGAAGGGTGCCAAGTCCCCAGATAGCTGGCAAAGGTAGATTGCTCCCACATTTGAATTATGAGGAATGTAGGGGAAAAAAAAAAACAGGCCAAGGCTAAATAGTATGCGATAGCACCAAACCAGTCAAGAACATTTTGTGCTCAAGACTGATGAACAGGTGATTGAGAGGTACTGTGGAGCAGAAAGTGTGCACAGTCCTTTTTCCTCTGGGCATGTGATGGGGGAACCAATGTGAAGTACACTTCAGGTACTACTAACCCTGAAGTCTCCAGTCAAAGGCTCGAGGATTGAACATACACAAGTGAAAAAGTCTGTGGACAACTACTCAAGGAAGAGTAAATGTTTAAATCAGCAATACAATACTCAGAGGTAGCCAGATCTGAGGCAATATAAGCTTGGTTTTCAGAAGTTTGAGTCTGAAATACTCTAATTCTTCATAACCTTTCCTTTCAGAAGTTTCAGTTTTGATGAACTAAATTTCCCAGGAGGAAATAAAATACCACAGGGCAAACTTAATTCTGCATTAATTAATAAATTTGTCACTGAATTTAGTAACAGAGAGCAGAGTCACTGCATTTGGTGAATGCACAAAAGTATGTATGAAATCCAAGATAAGTAGGCCCACCTCAGCTATCTGAAACACATGCTTGACTTGGTGCTATAGAAATTCAGCTTCTGTGCGTGATGTGTCTAACAGAAGAACCCAAGCCTACTCTCACCAGGAAGCTCAAATAGAAACAGAAGCTGTTCATCAAGCCTTCTTAAGCACCCTGGCAGTTTGTGTAAATACAACCCAAAAGAAGTTTCCACAGTGACTTACTGTAACTGTCTGCCCAGCCCGGAGGATATACTTTGGAGTAAATTTGTAGGCAATTTCTTCTCCTTCTCCTATTTGCCTTTTCAGTCTCCAGTTACCCAGAGACTGATCCTGAGAGAGAAATACAAAATTTTGTTTAGGAAAAACTAATTATAGCCAGCCAGCAGCGCAGTTCTCTTGTGTTTTACCTTTTTCTTTTTCCTTAAAATAGTATGTGTAGTTACCTGCTTTGCTCATACCATATTGGCTGATACCAATCCAATTCCAACATGCAGCTGGACAGTTTGGAGACCAGCATCAGACTGGTAAGTCTGGTGTGGGGGAAGGGGTGAGGGCAGGCAAGAGAGGGGCAGACTGAGGCTCCCGTGGTGAGCGAGGAAGTGGGGCTTGGGCAGGCGCTGCTCCGCTGGGGCAGGGCACAGGGCAGAGCTGTGAGCGGCTCATCCGTTAGCGTGGGGGTGGTGTCTGGAAGGCACCCCGGAAGGCATTGGATCAGCTGGATCTGTGCTGATGACCCAGCTGAACCACCCAGGAGTGGGTGCTGGAAGGAAACAGCCCCCAGGTGCAGGGGATGAGGGGAGCCTGCCATGGTCTGTATGGGACACCTCTCCGGGGTGTCACTGGGCCAAGGAGCAGTGCCACTTGTGTGCCAGCGGTGACCCAGGTGCTGGGTTTGGGGGGAAGAAGAAGCCTTCTCTGCAGGGACAGGTGGTGGAAGAAGAGGCTTTGGGGCCCAGAGGGAGTGATATCCAAAGGGTAGCGCCGATTTCTCCAGAGCTGGGCTCTATTCTCTTCTGCCCAGTGGGGACCATGCACAGGAACAAAATAAAGGGGAACACTATGGAGGGGATGGATGGCACAGCATAACACAGCATCTGTACCAGATCAGAACTCTTTGTGGGAGGGCTGTGTCTGACCCATGAGCTATAGGTTACTGCCCCTGGTTCAGATTGCAAGTTCCTTATTTTAAGCCCAATCCTGCAAACATTTACAAATCCATGCAAGTGCACTTTATAAGCACCCTAAGAGTAAATGAGACAATATATGTGAGCAAACTGACCTTCCTGTGTATTGTCAGTACCAAGCTGCTGAACATTTAAACTTTTGGGACACAAACTAAGATCTCTTTTAAGTTTTGTACAACTGCCAAAACGCTAGAACACAAATATAATGATTAGTTTCCACACCCTAGACAGCAGCAGCAGTGGCTGAGCTGGAAGACCCCATTCTTGCATCTTTGAAATTAGCGACTGGTGTTGGTGTCCCAGTCACCCACCCCTAATTGTTCTACTAGTATTACAAGACTACAATTGCCACTTTGCTACTGCTGATAATTTGATGCTTCCTGAAGGAGAAATGCCCAAAGATTAGTCTTCTTTCCTCCTTCAAGGGGCTGAGTTAAGGTTAGGAAAGCCTGTGTCATATTCAGATGCTAGTTTATTCTGCATTTTCTAAGAATTTTATTGACACTGACCTTCTCAGAATTATTTTTAAGTTGAACATATTTCCCCTCCAGGTCTATCTCTTCTATGCTGATGCTTCCTGTGGATGAGGCCTGCTGGGATGTTTGGAAACTACTGCTGCTACTGCTGCTGCTACCAGCACTACTCCCAGTTCCAATTCCACTTGTACCGCTGCCTGAAAGCTCCTCTGCTTCAATCCGTTTTCTCTTGCCTCTAGAAGACCGAACAACTGAAGCGCTGCTGCTGCTGGAAGTAGCCCGAGAAACTGTAACACGGGAGGATGGGCTTGGAGACAGCTTCAACCTTAACACAGTAAGACAGTAAGACAGACATTTTATTCAGATGAAGGAGAACACAACTGGATTTTCTCTGCTGTTTCACGAAATGTTTTGAGAGTACCAATGCATAGTAACATACTGCAGCATACTAGGACTAACTAGGAATAACAGGTGTAAACTAGTTGAGAGTGGATTTAGGTTAGATATTAGGAAGAAATTTTTCACAGTAAAGGTGGCCAGGATCTGGAATAGCCTTCCAAGAGAGGTGGTGCTATCACCTAGCTTGGAGGTCTTCAAGAGGAGGCTAGATAGTCACCTGGCTGGGGTCATCTGACCTCGGTCCTCTTTCCTGCCAGGGGCAGGGCGCCAGACACGATGATCCATTGTGGTCCCTTCCGACTCTACAATCTATGAATCTATGAATACTATTAACCTAGGCCAATGGTTCTCAACTTTGACTCGAGGCACCATTGTATGTGTACTAATGAAGGGTCTGGAGACAGAAGCAGGGGAAAACATGGAACTCTAAACTCTAAAGAAAAAAGGAGTAGAATATCAAGCAAAGAATGATACTTATCCATAGTATTTTAGGGATTATATAAACATACATGAATACATGCATGTAATGATGAAAGCAACTGCACTGTGTGAGACACGCTAGAGCTTAGGGGGCCAATGCGACTCAATTAGTCAAAGTTTGGATATTCTTGACCAAATAGAACAAAATGTATTTGTCGATGCCTACCTTTTCTCCTCTCCTTCCAGAAGTTTTCGGTAAGCACTGATTTCCATGTCCAGTGCTAGTTTGACATCAAGTAGCTCCTGATATTCTGCAAGCTGTTGCTGCATCTGGTCCCTCATTTCTGTCATCTCCCTCTCCCTGGCATCTAGCATCTTCCTGAATTTGTCCCGCTCACCAGCCATCATTTCCTCCAATTCCCGAATACGATCTTCTGCAGTACTAGCCTATTGTCACATTGAAATAAAAAAGTCAGTCAATCCAGACTGCATATACATAATCACTCTCTTTATGTACACATGGTCCCCTCTGACTGATGCTACAAAAACTGAAATAAATCAGGAAGCTACACTCAGGAATTACTTATCAGCAATGGTACTTTCATATGTAAAAACCATTGCAACAAGCAGCAGGAAGTAGGGACCCAACCAGTCCAATCACTAGCCTTAGAGTGACTGAAGCACATGACAGTATTTGAAGTGATTTTATGTAAGAAATTCAGAATTAATTGTAGATTTTTAATAAGTAGTTGGATTGAAAGATTTAAAATCTGACACCTAGCTTGGGTTAACTTTTACTAGGAAAGAGAGGTCAAATATAACTGTTTCTGGTTTGCAACTAAAAAAGCATAACCTTTAGAATAATTTTTTTGGAGGAAATTCTCATAAATACAGTTTCAATATTCACTCTCCACCAAAATGTGTATGAAAAGCACTGCTTTGTACAAAACAT